CGAACTGGCAACCTTTCGACCTCAACCAACTGAGCCACTCTGACCAGGCCTGTCTATTCTTTCTAGGATTCGTTTCACTGACTTCTCACCTTCTGTTCAACTTATAAATGTTAAGGCACCCAGGGTTCTAGCCTGAGTTCCCACTCTCCTTACATGATTTCATCTACTTTCTTATGAGCTTAGCTTTCCAATTAATAGAAAGTTTGATTTATCTTACCATAATTTCAAGATGTTTTGAAAGAAACGTAAATACATTTATGAAACGCATTCATGAATAAAAGCATTCTAGAATATGTTAAATATGAATGTTTTGAATTAGAATATTGGAAAATAATACCTGGAAGAATAAAAATGTTACATGTGGTATTCATAAAAAATACCTTAATAGTCATTGGATAGTTTCAAGAGTGCTCTAAGTTTTTGGTAACTTGCACATTTGGCAAATTGGGGGGTAGTATGGACGTTGAACTAATTGATCCTTCCATAAATTGACCTTTAGGGATCTGGGCCGCTTCTACTCAGCTTTCAGTATTTTTTTTTAAACAGGTCAGTTCAGTGCACTGCACTTGTTGTTTGTTTTTTTTTTAGTAAAATATTGACACATACCTGCTCAGAATAAATTAACTTGATCATATCACCTGTAAGGTGACTTGTCTCCTGATTTCCCTCAAAATTCCCACCATTACAGTTTATTCTTCTCTAAGCAAAATTAATAATTGTTTTCTCTTCTTGACCCACCATCTAATAGTTTTAATAATATAAGTGAAGGGGGGGATGGTGGTGGTGTGTGAATGAATCAGTTAATCAATTTTAATGGTAAGCTTTTTAAATTTTATTTTTCACAGTGACACCTATTAACCTATACCTGAAATTCTTATTATAAATATACTGAAGGTTGCAATGACAGAAATATAGAAAAGAAGGGAAGCAGCAAGAGAAACATTTTTAATGTATTAAGTATTATTTTTTTTAAGCATTGCAGGAATTGAACATTGAAAAGAGCTGAACTGTAGGACACAGACCATGTTAAAATTTAGTGCAGAGATGAAAGAATATAAACTGTAAGACCTGGGTGGCAGGGTAAGGCTTTACCGAGTAGGTGAGAGTTGAGGTCAAGTACTTGGGCATTCAGTCATGAGACTGGGACACACAGAGGCCGTTAGCTAAACAAACACAATAGTTACAGTCAGACTGTTCACATTATGAAAGTCTCTTCTTATAGAAGGCATTTTTTATGATGATCACTAGGGGCCCAGTGCATGAATTTGTGCACCTTGAAAGAAACTGTGGGCTACGAGGTTGCAGTGGGCACAGGGGCGGGTCTCCACCCATCCTCCATGGCCCCCAGTCCCCTTTCTACCGACAGCCCCACTCCTGCCACTGCCACTCCCACGTACTGACAGCGCTGGCCCCGCTCACACCCGCTGAGGGCGCAGAGCAATTGGGGCCTGCACCAGCAGTGGGTGTGAGTGGCGACTGGCTGCCCAGTCGCCCCTTAGGAACAGGGGGAGGTGGAGAAGCCCTGAGGGGTAATCAGAGCCAGCAGCCACTGCTTTCACCCACTGACTGCTCCCACCCGCTGACGGCTCCGAGCCATCGGGGCTGGCGTCGGGTGCCAGCAGCGGGTGCGCGTGCCAGGCAGGACCGTGGTGCACAGAAGCAAAGAATTTTCAGTAACCACCAGAGGCTCGCCCCAATGACAGTGACCAGTGCCCTGCCTTGGTCTGGTGCCCCTGCTCACCTGCTCCACCATCTCACTGCGGCCAACACCTGCCATGTTCCATGCTCTGCCACCTGCTACCAACACCCGCCATGTTCCGCACACACCCCTTGGTGTTCAGTGTGCGTCATAGAAACCGGTTGCTCGGCCGTTTGGTTATTTGCATATTAGCCTTTTATTATATAGGATTTTTGCCTAAGATTTAATTTACAAAATTTCTATTGACAAGGCACTTTTCAGCATGATAGCCACTGCATGAACAGAGGCAGTTACTCATTCTTGAGTTTTCCCAGCCACAGTGTTTACTCCAAGAATTAGTTCAAACCCTCTGCTCGGTCATTGATTGATTCATTATTCTTTGTAAGTGATTAGAGGGATAAGTGTTTTCAGGGTCTAAGGTACACTCGAGGACCACCCTAGACATGGAGAAAACACATTAAAATTAGAAGGGACTTCTTTTGACAGAGCATTCTTTTTCAGAAAAGGGTAAAGTTTCGAATGACAGAAAATGATCCTTCTGAAAGAAGATTAGAAGCTTCCTTACAGTCAAAGAATCATCCAGAGTGTTTATAGAACCTCTTTGTACTGATTGATGGCTCATCCTCTAGTGCAGCGGTTGCCAACCTTTCGGACCTCACAGACCACCAGTGGTCCATGGACCACAGGCTGGCGACGGCTGCTCCAAAGGTTTCCTTAGTGCTTGAAAGTAGAGAAGGGAACTAGGAGGAGAAAGCAGGTCCATTTTAGGTGCCACCCTGAAGGTTTATTACTAGAATTGCAAAGAGGATTTTAATCCACAACACTCTCCATCCAAGTTTAAGGAGAAAATTTATTGTTAAACACTATTGTGTACTGTCTTACTTTTCTTGCAACATCCATACAGACTTACTCCATATTTCACATAACCTTTATCCTTCACAATTAGAACCTTTCCCTTGAAGTTCTGAGTAGTTTGGAAAGCCCAATCCAGAGAAGTCTATCAGAAGCATCTATCTACACCTGCTCACTGTGATGGACAAGGACTCCTGGGTACCATGCACAGTAGGCCTGGAGCGGAGCAGAAGGCACTGCAGTCCTCCAGTGGGCTGGACAGTAGAAGGCTGGGCAGCCCCAGGCTCTCAGAGTCAGGCAGGGTGGCTGCAGCTCTAAGATTGCAGCCCCAGCTGCAGGAAGAAGAGAGCAGCGCCGTCCTGGGGGAGAGGTCCCTGTGTCCAGGGAACAGCTCCTCTACTCTATTTTCCTCTCACTGCTTTATAATAATTACTGTATGCACTTGCCTTTAATTGTGTTATTTTTCACAAGTATGTTTTTTAAAAGACAGAAGAGAAAAATAAATTATTTGAAAAGCAGATGGAGCAAAGCTGTTGTTTAAAGTCTAAAACTGCTAAAATCATCAAAAGGCAGACACTCAGGTCCCCTTAGGAGTTTTTTGTTGTTGTTTTTTTTGTTTGTTTTTTTGTTTGTTTGTTGTTTTTTTTTTTGCAGGGGGAGGCAGAATGGCTAAGGTGAGTTGAAAAGGCTATCCTTCACTCCCTCTGACCTAATCTCCTCCCCTCCTGGCTGGCCAGATACCCCAAACCTCACTTCCCTCTTTAGGGTAAACCTCCTTCCACATAGAAAAACATCTCTTATGGTGACTTTTAAGCTCTGGTTTTGTTCTCAGCTGAAAACCATCATCAAAGACTCTTCAAGGCCTACACAAGACAGAGAACATCACAGAGGAATTTAGGATAGTTTGAGGGACATCTAGTCCAGAGCATCCAAATATATATAAATTACTTCATACATTAGTAGGAAGCTCAGATGTAAAAAAGTCAGAATGGGCCCAGCATGTGGCTCAGTGGTTGAGTGTCGACCTATGAACCAGGAGGTCATGGTTTGATTCCTGGTCTAGGCATATGCCTGGGTTTCAGGCTCAATCCCCAGTGGAGGGCATGCAGGAGGCAGCCGATCAATGATTCTCTCTCATCATGGATGTTTTTATCTCTCTCTCCCTCTCCCTTCCTCTCTGAAACAATATATATATATATATATATATTTTTTTTCAGAATGCGAAGACCTCTGGTGACTTAAAAGACCTTAAATTGCATAGGAAATTGAAGGGGTTTAGAAAAGCTATAGATGGTGGTCAAGGTCTTTGGTAAACTATCTTTTAACTTTCCTGTGGAAATAGATGGTACTCTGATTCAGTTCTTCAAGGCAAAAAACATGGTGGGTTTGGTGAAGGGAGAGATTAACTGAAGAACTTATATGCATATATTCATAGCCCATGAACTTGAAGGCCTGGGAGGGGTGGATGTGGGATGGAGGTGGCCAAAGGGGGAAAAAACAAAGGGGACATCTGTAATACTTTCAACAATAAAGATAAACTTTAAAAAGAAAAAGGAGGGACAGTATTGAGGAGTAAATCCTGAAGCCGACTTGACTTTGGCTCTCTCCCTCTTAACTTTTTGTGAATGGCCTTAAACCAGAAATAGGGACTTATTATGCTATGATCAAAATCTTGAAAGAGTCTATATTGAAAGAGCTCTAGAACTAAGAAACTAAAAAAACAGAAAAGAAAAAAGTTATCAATGAAGGTGTTCCATTTCACATTCTATTCTTAAACCTGCAAGGAAACATTTCTCTAAAAATTAAAGGATAACATTACAACTTTTTGATTGATATGGGCACAATAATATCAATCTTAAACCTGAGCACTACTATACAGCATGTTCCTTGGAGTCAACAAACTATTCCAGTCATGCATCTAGTTAATAATCCTCATCGCACCTTCTCCAGGAACCACCCCCCCCACCCCCCGCCAACCCGTATAACTGTCACCCTTGAACCTTTTTTTCCCCCTTTTTAGCCTAGAATCTTTAACCAAAGAGGTTTTTCCTTTGTGACAATCATTAACTTAATAGCAAGGGATTTACTGTGTCCTGATGGTCTCTTCCCTCCAGTCCCAGAGGACATCTCTATTCATAATGAGGTCCTGGCTAACTTGGATGTTGTTGTACCAGTACTTTTTGTGTAGATCAAGCACAGATTGAAGCTCTTTTGTGGGCAAACAATTCTAATGATATTCTTCCAGACTAAACTCATCAAGGTTCAGAATGACCTACCTAAACCTTTACCCAAATTTGCACAATAGCCTCTAAAACAGCGGTTCTCAACCTGTGGGTTGCGACCCCTTTGGGGGTCGAACAACCCTTTCACAGGGGTCGCCTAAGACCATCGGAAAACACATATATAATTACATATTGTTTTTGTGATTAATCACTATGCTTTAATTATGTTCAATTTGTAACAATGAAATTGGGGGTCACCACAACATGAGGAACTGTATTAAAGGGTAGCAGCATTTGAGAACCACTGCTCTAAAACAAGGTGCTACAGAAGGAATAAAACTAATAATCAAAAGCCTGAAGGAGAAAGGAGTCTTCATATCGCCTCCTATTGTCCCACTGAGAAACCCAGTAGGCAAGATATAGATTCAGAGCAGGGAAATGGCGGCAGATTAAATGGAAGCTACGCTGACACCCTCCCAGGACCAAACTTAAATTACAACTTAAATACAGAAAAAATCATCTTGAATAATAAACTGAAGAGTAGCTGGAGAGAACCCTGATAACCAAGAACTGAAAGTGGAGGCCACATAGACACTGGTAAGAAGTAAATCAATACCTCCTATGAACTTCATTACTTCCTCTGAGCTCAGCTTTACCTGATCAGCAAGTTATCTTGGTAGCAATCAGAATTTGTCCTAAACTTTCACCTAAGAGATTTCAGATTAAAAAATAAAAACCACCACCACCCTTTTTATATGCCTTTGATTTTGGCAAATGTTACTAATTAGTCATGGTTGTTGTGCCTATACAGTGGGGCCTTGACTTACGAGTTTTTTGAGATACCAGCTGTCTCTTGGCTGATTTTTTGCATTGAGTTGATAGAGTAATTTGAGTTAACGAGCTCCTTAACGAGCTCGGTCTCAGAATGAATTAAACTCATAAGTCAAGGCCCCACTGTAGTCTCTTACTGTCCCCCCAAAAAGCTGGTCACTAGCAGGCTGGGGTCTTATCTCTGCTGGAGAAGAGCCATGAAGGCAGGTGTTCCACAGTATTGAGGAGCAGCTCATGATAAGTTTTTTGTTTCTGTATTATAAAAATATATTTGAGCCAAACAAAGGATGCGCCTAGAAGCAAGATCTCAATAGACTGAGATAAATTCTTCTCATCATAAGTTTAAACCATGATACTTGGCAGGGCTTTCCCCGCCTAGTGCAAGGGATGTTCCTCCCCACCTGGGCCCATGCCTACACACATATTGGAACACCTGTCAAAGAAACAAGGAGCCATTCCCCTTCAGCTAGTTCCCTGGAGTGCTGCAACCTGGGGGCAGGATTGGCAAAGGACCGCAGAAATGAGGGAGTTTTTCTTTTCCATAAAGATTGCCTCCTGCTTATCAACTCTGCTTTTCTTTGTCTGCCCCAGGGCTGACTCTGGGGACTGCCAGATCTGGGGTAAATCACAGGGTGTTCTCAGGCCACCCTCCCCGGAAGGACATGCTCAAATCATTCTCCTAGCAAAATCCGGTTCTGGTAACTAGCAAGGGCAGCCAAGGGCAACTAACCAAAAGCCAGCTAGAGGAGCTGACAGTAGTAGGCAAGGAGGAATGTGTGTAAACTGAGCAAATTCTAACTGCCAGAGCTGTCCCAATTTTTCTTCGCTTATCTCCTGGATTCTGGGAGATCAGGACAGACCCCAGGTACTCAGCACAGCCTCCAAGTTCAGGAAACCCTGCCTGCTAAGCAAGGAATGGAGCTACATTTGGAATCTGGAGAGGAGGTATCTAGGAGGATGGGGTGGGGGGCAGGAAGACTGCCTTCCACTGATAACACTACCCCCCACCCCCACCCCCCTCCCGTGGCTGCAGCGCCAAGGGCCCAGTGGGATAAGCACCAGGAGCCTGGGTTCCTCTTGACAAAAGCCTTCCCACGTTTACAGCTGTCCAGAGGCTCCCAACACTGAGTGGCCATGCTCACTCTCAAGGTCACGTGCCGGCAGTGGGAAAGACCTACTTGAGGGGTCTTAGGAATCTATACTTAAAAGCTTGCCCTGACACCCCCGTTCTCTGGAGTCTTCGCTTACACACAGGGAGGTGGTTTTTTTGTTTCCTTGCTCTTTGTTTTGGTCTTACTGTGATTTTATGCGTGATGGCCTCCATCCCTACACAAGACTAAACCGAGGGCACCCCGGAGGTGGGGCCACCAGAACCTGTACCAGGCACAGGGCGTTGTTGGTCTGCCCCTCCCCACAGGCCACCAAGTAATCCTCTGAACTTCTTAGTACCCCACAGAGCCAGGCTAAGCCTTGCCAAGAGCGCAGGACAGCCTTGATCACAGTCTTTAGACACCAGAAGGAAGAAATAAATAAATACCAAGTTAGAGAAACAGCTTAAAACCTTTAAGAAATCCAGGGCAACTGGATTCTGCTGAGGACAGTCGGTTAGGTAAGGGAGTCAAGTTGGAAAGAGGAACTCCGCTGTTTAAAAAAAAGGAAAGAAACAGCCTGTTAGAGCGGAGACGTCCATGGAGTCGAGAGACTCAAAACCCGCCTGTTTTCTCCCGCGTACCCCGGGGGTGGCGCGCCAGGCCCGCGCGTTCCCCGGAGGGAGCCGGGCAGGACCCACGCGGCGGAGGCGGGTTTCCGGGGAGGCTCGCGTTCGGGGTTGGGGACTCCCGGCCGGCCGGCCTCTCCTCGGATTTGTGACGTGTCGAGGGCAGCAGTGGTGACGGAGCCATCACACAAAGCCGGAACGTCGGGGCGGGGGTCTCCCAGGCCAAGAGCCCCAGTGGGTGGGGAGGGGGCGGGCAGCCGGGCGCCCCCGGGCTCCGGGACTCCGCCCAGCATTAAAGTGAAGGCCGAGTCCGCCGCGCGGGTGGCGGGCGGTTGGCGCCGGGGCGGCCGCGAGCGCTTCTCGGGGGCCTGGCGGCTGTGGCCCCGCTGGCCGCCGGCGCGCCCGCCTCCCCGGAGCCGCGCCACGCCCTCGCGGAGGTGGAGCGGAGGCCAGGGGCGGGTCCGCAGCTGGCGGCGCCCGGGCTCGGGGCGGGGGCTGTGGCAGCAGCTGCAGCAGCGGCGGAGGCAGCAGCGACAGAGGCAGTTGCAGCAGAGGCGGAGGCTGCTTCTGGACGCGTCCGGGCCGCGCGGCCGGAGCCCCAGCCCGGAGGCGCCGGGCGCTGCAATCAGTGCTGCTGCTGCTGCTCTCCCGCCGCCGCCTGGGCCCCCGCTGCCCCCGGGCCCCCGGACGCCGTCCGCGCCCTCGTCGACCCCGCCTGCTTGTGCGCCCCAGCCGGGACGCCGCCCCCGGCCGGGTCTCCACTTCTTAGCCGCACCTCCCATGACAGCGCCCGCGCGAAGATGGCTGCGAAGGGCTCACACAGCTCCCACCTGAAGGTAGAGAGCGAGCTGGAGCGCTGCCGCGCCGAGGGCCTCTGGGACCGCATGCCCCAGCTGGTCCGGCAGATGAGGGCGCTGGTCCTGCCCAGTGGTGGAGGCAACCGAAGAGCCATCTCGAGCGCCTTATTCACCCCCCCGGACGCCGGTGAGTGAGGGAAGGGGCTGGTTCGCTAGCTGGAGCGCGCGAAACGCGCCTCCTCCTCCAGGAAGTGCGCCCCGACTGCCCCCAGCCTCGCCGGCCGTCTTTGGTATTACCCTTCCTGTCGTGCTAGTCTAGGGAGTGCCCGGGCAGTTAGAACGGCTTTCCTGCCCCAGGAGAAAACCCGTGCAGGTTGGGTGCTTTGGGGAAAGGGGGGATCGTCTTTTGCTCTCTGCCCTTTAGGATCATGTGGGCAACTCCATCTATTGTGAAATGGTGGTATGGGCACGTGTCAGATTAGGGCTTGGGCTGGACTCTTGCACCACCTTTGAGCTCCCATCAGGTGAACACTGTGTGTCTCCCCATGCCTTCCCCCAAGTCAAGTTGACAGCGGGAGCTCTGTCCACAACAGACCTACTCGGAGGGGTTGATGATCACGGGGGTGAGGTGGTGAAGTGTGAAAGAGGCCCGGTAAGCCTCAGTTTCCTCCTTTGTGGCCGGGCTCGGGACCCTTCTAGCCCTGGCAGCTCGTGGCGTTAGCAGTAGGGCTGGGCTCCTGGGTGGGAAAGTACCCTGATGTGGCAGTGGGGGAACCCCGCCCCCGGCTCCAACCTCAAATCCTGTCCCTGGTGCCTTCAGCTCAGCCTGGAGAGCCCTCTCTGAGCCCTATCTTTGAGCGCTTCAGAGCCTTGTGGAAGGAAGTAAATACACCCAGTTATAAAGAGTTTTAAACACTGCCTGTGGAAGGCTCTGTGGAGAAGGAATGAAAATAATAGTAATAGCTAACACTTACCTAGCACTCACTGTGTGCCAGACACTGTCCTAAGCACTTTAATGGACTCATTAATTCCTCCCAGCAACCCCAAGAAGCAGGTACTCTTGTTTGCCCCACTTACAGATAAGGATACTGATGCACAGGGGAGTTAAGTAACTTGATCATCCTGTTGATAAGTGGTGGAATCAGGATTTAAACCCCGATTTCTCAGCACATCCTTGTAATCGCTTGTAGTCTTACCTCTCAAAGATGTGTAGCACCAAATCCCAGCCTGAAGAGTTGCCAAAATGGACAGGGAGGCAGGGAGGTGACCAGAGGGCAATTGCGCATTAGATGGTGGGGCTCAGGAAGTAGCAGAATGTGTACTGACCTCTGACAGTGGAAAGGGCAGAATGTGTCTGTCCACTGAGGGGGAAGGATAGGACACTGAGGGGGGCTAGGTGGCAGGGACGGGCAGTCAGGTTGAACCTTTGAGGTAGTTCTAAGTGTGGCAGTGGCCAGAGCTGGTACATATATGGGAGAAGCTGGTGAGCCCCCCCTTTTAGGGCAGAATAGATAAATTACAGGTTCCCCTCTATCCCCTGTATGGGTTGATATGGGGTAAGTCTGGTGAGGGTGGGAAATGGAAAGTGACCCACACAGAAGGCATTGGGGTTTTCTCAAAGATATGGGAATCTGAGTCAGGTTGGCACTGCAGAGAAACACACTGGGACCAAGACAGGAACCAGGCCTCCTTCCGTCCATACTGGGCTGTATTTCCTAAGCTATTCTCTAGCGGTCTCAAGACATTGAATGTTTATTCATTGGTATCCCAGAAAGAAAGAGTTTAGAGAGCCACACAAGTTAAGAAATTAGACCTAATGGATTAAATATCGTTAAACAGATGTTTAAACTGCAGGACTTATAAGGGCCTTTAATATGCTCAGCTGCATGTGATGTTAAAGCCAAGGTTAGAGTATAAATACCACATTTCTCAGACTTCCCTTACTATATTCTATGAAGCATTATTGGGAAACACTGGTATGACAGTTTATAAATGGTATGGTATAAAGTGCTTTCTCTATTTTTTCCTTTTTTATTTTTTTGTTAATCCTCACTCGAGGATATTTTTTCCCATCAATTTTTAGACAGAGTGGAAGGGAGAGGGAGAGACAGAGAGAGATAGAAACATCGATGTAAGAGAGGCACATCACTTGGTTGTCTCCTGCACATACCCAGGCCAGGGCCAGGATCGTGCCTGCAACTGAGATAAGTACCCTTGACTGGAATCGAACCTGGGACCCTTCAGTCCACGGGCTGATGCCCTATCCAGTGAGCCAACCCAGCTAGGGCTCTATAATTTCTGTGGGGAGGACAGGAATTATTGTCCCCATTATATTTTTGTTTTAAATAATTTATTTCAGAGAGGAAGGGAGAGAGAGAGAGAGATACATAAATAAGAGAGAATCTTTGATCAGCTGACTCCTGCATGCCCTCTACCAGGGATCAAGCCCAAAACCCAGGCATGTGCCCTGACCGGGAATCGAACATAGGTCGACGCTCAACCACTGAGCCACACCAGCAGGGCTATTGTCCCCATTTTAAACACAGGGACACCAAGACTCAGAGAAGTCACATGATGTGTATGTGGCAGAGCCTGTCCCCAAGCCTGAGCCCCTGCAACCAAGTCTGTTAGTAACCGAGTGGGGCATATGGAGCCTGGCCTGGCTTCACTGTGGGAACTGACCAGCACAGAGGGAGATTGAAGGATGGTGGGAGGTCTCTCCTGTCAATTTTGGGGTCAGTGATTTTTTCCCCACTGTTAAATCCAGATACACTATCCCCAAATGCACGCATGCACATGAGCAAGGAAAACAGTGACTCCCAAAGCCCATGCATGGAGCTTTTTCTTTTGGATTGTCTGCTATCTTGGTTCTCTCTCCATGGGGTTCTTTTTTTTTTTTTTTTCCTAGAAAAGCCCCCTTTCTTTCTTTCTTTCTTTCTTTCTTTCTTTCTTTCTTTCTTTCTTTCTTTCTCTTTCTTTCTTTTTTTGTTTTGTTAATCCTCACCCAAGGATATTTTCTCCATTGATTTTCATAGAGAGTGGAAGGGAGAATGAGAGAGAGAAACATCAATCTAGGTACATACCCTTGACCAGAATCGAACCTAAGACCCTTCTGTCCATGGGCTGACGCTCTATCCACGGAGCCAAACTGTCTAGGGTTCCATTGGGTTCTTGATCACTTGAGGGACTGAGAGGCTGTTTTCTGCGGGGTGGTGTTGTTGGAACTGACCCCCTGCAACTCAGGAGGGAGTTCCTTAAAGTCCCACCTGGCCAGTTGGACTCTTCCCGTCAGTGCCTGGAAGCTTTAACAGTTCTAAACTTGGGAGAGGGGAAGAAGGCACTGAGGGGGAGCCAACCCCCAGTTGAAACCCATTTTACAGCCTGAGGCCCTGAGGCCCTGCCGCATCTGTGGGGTTTCCCTCAGAAGCTAGAAATCCCAAATCATGGATTTCACTGCAGGGAATAGGAGGGGAGGGCCCCACTGAGGGGGCTTCTTGCTGGTCTGGTGGGAGTGAAGGACTAGGAGAAGCTCCCTCAGAAGGGCCCTACCCCCTTTTCCCGTCTGGGGAGGCCGCTCCCGGCCACCCACCCAGGGGGAAGGTGGTTGCCCCTTTTTGCACACTTACTTTCAAACTCACATCCGGTTTAGATTTGATCAGGATGGAGCAGGGGAACCCCGGAGTACAGCTCTCTGGGGTGGGGTTTGTTCGCGTAAAAACAAAGAGCCTATCCAAGTGGTTAAAGAGTGTTTCTTCAGATGAAGTTAGAAGGGGTGTTGGAGGCAGGTGGCCTCTGACTAGTTTCAGCCTCTTCCTTCTCTCTCAACGCTTGGAAGGCCCCCACCCTCTGCAGCCCTGTGAGGTGAGCAGCTGTGGAGACCGCCACGTCCCCATGTGACCTGGTGAGGAGGGGCCTGGTCTGGACGCCAGGCTTGCTGGCTGCACCCAGGTTTCCAGAGAGCGAATTGGCAGGTTGTGGAGAGGTGAACACTGTCCTGCAAATGTGGGTGCGGGGAGGAGGCAGGTGTCCTTGAAGTGGGTCTCTGTGACCTGGCACCCTGGAGAGGCTGGAGAAGATAGGAGCAGAGAGGAAGCTAGCTGCCAGAGTCCTTCAAAACAAGGGGGTGGGCAGACAGGGTAGCCACTCGGTGGTGGCCTCATTTGAGTCTCTGTCAAGGGCAGGGGGCTGGGCTGGGCTGCCAGAACCAGCATCCAGGCTCCCAGAGTCTCATTCTGTCAAGAAGGGGATGCCCCCAGCAGGGGAGAAGCTGGGCCCCTTACCCAAACCGTGTAGGGAGTAGATTTTGGACAATACGATGATAAAAAGCAATTTGTTCTACCTTCAGAGAAGGACAGGGAAGCCTCTATGCACCTGGATTCTCGTTTAACAACTGAAAATCAAGAACTTTTAATTGTAAAATATCCTTCAGTTCCATAGACTGGCCAGTTGAGAATAATAGGATGGAAAGAAACGGGGAGGCGGGGGGGAGGGGGGGAGAGAAAGATTGGTGCAGGGAGAAGTGAGCAAGAAAGAAAGGAAAGTAAATTCCCAACACCTACTGAGTGTCTGCTAAACAAAACAGAATGAGTGGGGGTGAAGAGGAGGGAAAATGGCTCTGGAGAAGGACCTGAAGTGTTAATTTATAAAATAGTCTAAAACTTGTAATTCTTATCCCTGCCCTTGGAATTAGTATTAATCCTTTTTTCTTTTTTCTTTTTTTTAAAATATATTTTATTGATTTTTTTACAGAGAGGAAGGGAGAGGGATAGAGAGTTAGAAACATCGATGAGAGAGAAACATTGATCAGCTGCCTCCTGCACATCTCCTACTGGGGATGTGCCTGCAACCAAGGTACATGCCCTTGACCGGAATCGAACCCGGGACCCTTCAGTCCGCAGGCCGACGCTCTATCCACTGAGCCAAACCGGCCAGGGCTCTTTTTTCTTTTTTAATGATTTTGTTGATTTGAGAGAGAGAGAAAGGGAGAGGGAGAGAGAGAAACATCGATCAATTTGCCTCCAGCACGCACCCAATCAGGGATCAACTTGACCACATGGGTAGTGCCTGACAAGTAATGGAACCGGTAACCTTTCGGTGCACGGGATGATGCTCCAACCAACTGAGCCACTGGCCAGGGCACTATTAGTTTTTAACCTTAAACTGTTCTTTATTTCTAAAGTATCTGAAGCTTTGCTCTGCATGGGATGCCAGGGAGACAGATTATTCTTTGGCTGTGCTATTCTATTGTTATGGGCTGTGGCTGTAATACTATTGCATATTTTTATTTCCATCTATAAAATGGGAATAATGTCTACCTTTTAGGGCCGTGCTGATTAAATGATACTTTATAATAAAGTACCTGGCACTCAGTAGGCCCTCAACAAATATTAGTCTCCCTTACTCATTAAAAGGTGAAGGGATTAGCTGAAGAACATATATGCAGGGCACATGCACACAGGCGATAGTGATGCGAGGGCCCTGGAGGGGGAGCCAGGGGCGGAGTGGAGGGGGGCAGCGAAGAAATGCGGGCCATCTGCAATAGTGTCAACCATAGAACATGTACATTTTTTTTAAAAGTGCTCTTGTGGTTTAGAGCAGTGCTTCTCAAATGATCTGTGAGGACCAGCTTTATGATTTTAAATTCCCAATCTGATGTGCTCTGATACTTGCATAAGATACACAAACGTTTACCCTCCAATTTTTTATTATTCGATTCAACAGATTCAAAATCATTCTGTCATGTTATTGCCAACCTTTGTTGAACGTGTACTCTACGTTTCTGCACTTACCTCCAGGGACCGGGTCACACACTCACAGACCTACCGGTTCTAGTCCTGGGACTACACTTTGAGCAACAAGTGTTCAGAGGACACTCGCATAATTTTGAGGAGCGGTGCGTGCCCTGGGGAATATTTCAAGATTGAGGGTTGCCTGGAAGGAAGCTGGTTTCTCCAGGCCTGAAAGGAACCGAGCCAGTGAACCGTGGAGAGCTCTGGGCTGGGCGGTTGGGTGGCAGAGGCGGGGCCAGGTGGCTGGATGGCTCTGCTGCTGCGCAGGTGGGGAGCTGGCTGTTGTAGAGCAGAGCGCTAGTGCACTCCCAGGAGGAGGGCGGGGACCAGCCCAGGAGGCGGAGCCCAGGGAGAGGCTGGTCCCTGCAAGGAACAGGTTCCTAACTCCACCCCTGGTTTTACAAAGGCAAAACAGGTGAGGGAGAGCAGTTTGCCTAGAGGTGCACCTTTCAGGCACCCGCTGCTAAGCATCCCACCACTCCTTCTGGCCAAGATTTGGAAATGACGCTCTAACCACTGAACAACTAACTGGCTAGGGCTGGATTCTGCTTTCTTATCAATTTATTTTGGAATTCATTCCTCCATAATAGCACAGATTGAGCTTCCTCGTTCCTTTTTATAGCAGCGTGGTGTCCCTTTTTATGGATGTACCATGCTTTAATCAGCCTCCTGTTGGTGGACACACAGGTTTCCTCTAATTTCCTGCTATTACAAATAATGCTACAGGAATGACCTTATATGTAGGTTATTTTACGCATTTGCAAGGACATCTGTAGGAGCAGAATTGCTGAGTCAGTGGCAATGTACAAAAATAATTTTGATATATGTTGCTAAATTGCCCTTTATAGAGATCCTACCAACTTCTATTCTATTAGTGATGGATGATGGTTTCAACCAGGTACTTGTCTGGCCATTTCCTCCAAATCTTAATTTGAGAAATCAAGAGGTAGGTATAGCAAAGGATCCACTAAAAGGCTATGGCGTCCCTAGAGGGAACTGTGACTGTCCTTGGGACTCTGGGCTTTTGGGATGTTCTCTGCATGGAATCTCCCTTATGGATGGAGAATCTTCAGAGGCATGCAGTTTGGAACCAGTGGCTTTGTTTTGTTTTTCTTTTTTATTAAAAAAAAAATGTTTTTATTGATTTCAGAGAGAGGAAGGGAAAGGGAGAGAGAGATAGAAACATCAATGATGCGGAGAATCATTGATCAGCTGTCTCCTGCATGCCCCCCACTGGGGATCAAGCCTGCAACCCTGACCAGGAATCGAACTAAGACCTCCTGGTTCATGGGTTGACACTCAAGCAGTGAGCCCCACTGGCCTGGCTGGAACCAGTGGCTTTGAGTTGTGACTAAACTGAGGTGGTCCTAAGAGTGAGGAATTAGAGGCACCCCTGGGTAGGTGGCAGGAGAAAGAGCTCTGTGAAGAGATGGGACCAAGCACATATTTCTGGAGACATTTTGGAGTGGCACGCAACTCCCTGAGGCTTGTGGCTGCCTCCTGGGGTAGTGGTGAGGGTCCAGTTCATTCCGCAGATATTTCCTGGGCACCCATGTGAGTAGTGGGCCTGATCCTCACCCAGTTGAAGGGGAAGGACAATGAGCCAGTCACATCAAGCACTACCTCCAGAGGCCATCATGAAAGCACACTTGACCTCTGGCCCTGCACACTGAAGCCCCGAATTCTACTCCCACCCGAGTCACTTTTGCTGAAGGTAGCAGGAATATGGTGGTCACTAGATTGGCGTTTTCAACGTGGTGGGGGAGGCAGCAAATTAACCAAGCAGTATAAATTCACCTGCCAGGCGGTGAGGTCTGCAGATAAGCTGGCATATGTGAGAGAACCCGAGAAAGTGCTGGTACTAAACCTGTTCAGGCTTTGCCTTGCTGACAAGCAAATCTGCTTCCTACCTCTTCACTTGGTTGCTAGGTTCTCCCTGGGTCATGTTAAATAAAATGCCTTCAAAGTAGAGAAAACCAAATGTGGTTTTATGGAAGTTAGGAGCACGTGAAAATGCATTATTAAACCGTCTCATATCATTTTCTTCTCCGGTCATTTGGGGAAATTCCTTCTTGGTCTAAGAACTTATTGTAGGGAGTGGCTATAGGGTCAAGCCCCGGACTGACCTGTGGCAGAGCCACATACAAGTCCCAGCTTGGAGGGCAGAGCCCTCCTGGCACAATTAAGCTTGACCCAATAGCCACTCCCTACACTTATTACCCACAATGGGTCATGGGTGTGACTTTGTGCCTCATTTTCAATTCTGAAGTTCTGGTAATTTGTCCCAAATCCTGGAAACTGCCTTCCCAACCACCAAACTACAGAAAATAAACCCAAAGGAGCGATTTGTGCTGGTACAATGGTAGAATGCCTGCTGGGGTGTGTGTGTGTGTGTGTGTGTGTGTGTGTGTGTGTGTGTGTGTTTAAGGCTGTTTAAGTTTATGGAAACAGTGCCTTCATTGATTTTTTTGGACCTGGGAAATTTATGTGCTGGGATCAGGTGGTTGGGTCGCTACAGGGACAAGTCCCAGTCTCCACATGTGCCTGGCTCAGGGATCACTGCCCTGTTTTTCAGATGACTTTGGAAAATTGCTCCTGGCTGAGTCCCTCCTGGAGCAGTGTTTGAAGGAGAACAATGCCAAGATAAAAGACTCCATCCCTTTGCTGGAGAAGAATGAGCCGAAGATGAATGAAGCCAAAAACTATCTGAGTAGTATCCTCAACCATGGGAAGCTGTCGGTAAGTTGTCAGCCCTCTGAGTCTGGGGCCACCTTTCCTCTCCTGCCTCCTATCTGCTCTCAACCTCCCTGAGTTATTCCGTCACCTGAGCAGCATGTGTCCCTTAGGGTTGGCCTTGTGCTATTAAGTACAGTAGCCACTAGCCACATATACGCTTGAAATGTGGCTAATCCAAATTGAGATGTGCTATAAGCATAAAACATACACTGGAGTTTGAAGACTTAGTACAAAACAGAGAATGTAAAAGATCATTAATACTTTACATTGATTACATGTTCAGATGATAGAATGAATTGAGTTGAATAAAATCGTTAAAATTAATTTGACCCTTTCTAATGTGTCTAGAACATTTTATTAGAAAATTTAAATTACACATATGGCGTAAATTATATTTCTATTGGACAGTGCTTGGTTGACTTAGTATGTGCCTGGTCCTGTGTGCTCTTTGGGGGTCTCAGGGAAACAGTGAGCCCAAGATCTAGTTGGAAACAGGCAAACATACAGAGCTGGCTAGCGACGGAAGAGCTCAACAGGGCAAGCCAGTTTAAGTCCAAGTGCATTTATTGAGCACCTACTGTATGCAAGACACCGAGGGAAGTATAGTCACAGCCTTCTCTAGACCTTTACTACTCAAAGCATGGTCTTCCCACCTATAGATTGGGCATGATCTGGAAGCTGGTTATAAATGCAAAATCTGAATCAGAATCTGCATTTAAGAAGCTCTCTGGGTGATTATGGCACATTAACATTTGAGACTACTCTAGATTACAGAGTACCCTGAGCTATAGTAGAGGTATTGATATGTCATTAGAGACCCAAAGAAGATACAATGTTTCTAGAAATATTCTAAAGTAATATATTTATTAACCTAAGCATTTGGTTACAACCTACGATGTGCAAGGCATTGTGTTATGTACTTTGAGGGCAATAAAGATGAGTTCAGCGTGGACCCTGTCCTCCGGTCCATGTTGCAGGTCTTCTGCAAAGATAATTCCTATCAGCACACTGCCCAGGGTGGACTGTGACACAAGCCACAGGCATGTGTACATGCACAGGCAAGTCTGAGGGGAACAGTCCTGGGGGTGAGGTAGGCGTCAACTCAGAGATGGTAATACTAGAATTGGACCTGGGGAGGGCTGGGCCTTGAAGTGGGAGGGAGATGGGCATATAGAGATAGGACAGAGCTACAGAGCATTCCAAGCTAAGGAAGCAGTGTGTAATCTAAGGGTTCCTCTTGTAAGAGTTTCATTAAAATATGTCAGTTAGGAAGAGTAAAAGGGAATGGTGGGTAATTAGGTTATAAAAGTACAGTGGGTCCAGAGAATGGGGACTGGAACACCACACCAAGAAGCACACGGCTTTTTCTGTAAGCAGTGCGGGGAGAGTGTTCTGGAAGTTTAAGGTTACCGCCTTTAGACTCATGCTGTGATGGGATGGTTGAGGCTCTGGGAGATTTCGCATTGGATTAAAATAGCTGCTTGACCCTGAGCATGTCCCCTGACCTCTTGGGCCCTCCAGTTCCCCATGTACCAATCAAAAGGGTTGGACATGATTGGTGAGTCCCAAACTCTTCCCACTAAGATCTCTTTTAATTTTTTTCTTTCCAGTAGATGCCATTAAATATTTAAAAATTGTTTTTAAAATAAATATGACTTAGGCTTATTGTAAAAAACTCACCACATAAACAAGTGGTTTGAATAATAAATAAAAGGCCTTGTTTGCCACCCCTCAAAACCCTACCCCATTCCCATCCCCATAGTTGAGCACTGGTCATCATTGGGCGTGTGTCCCACTTCTCTGTGTGTTAACCAACACACGTGCACACATATAGAGCTTAATTTTCTTATTAGAGTCACAGGCTACGTATTTGACAAGTTGCTCTTTTGCACTGAGAACTTTCACTTGGAGCTTTCTCCATGCCAATGCCTCTTCCTTTGTATTGGCCTAATAGTATACTCAGGTATTGTTGTGGAAAACTGTGTTGTTTATTTTATATTGCAGATTTTACCATGCTCTATTCATCAAAGACATACAGAGTCACTGATAACACGGAGAAATTCCCTGTTATCCAGGCCAAAGCCAAAAAAATTAACATGGATCAGGCAAAATAAAATATTAAAAGTAGTTTATGGGGTTCTCTATCTTACCCCAAAGGCTGGAGTATGGCTGAGGAGGGGGTGATTTTTCCTGGCAGCAGATGAAATCCCAGGTGGATTCCTGTATAGTAACTGATGGGACGAGGAGAGTGGAGAGGCGGGTCCTGGGGCATCTCCTCAGGGTAGTTTGAAACCTACTCTTGGTGGCCTGCCAAGCTCAGTTCTGTGGAGGTCGGTGAAAACAACCATTTGTCATAACTTGTGATCCACTAAGCGCCAGGCATTGCACCATCTCCTGGGTGCCTCTTGTAACCCTCTCAATGGCATTTTCTAGTATCCCCATTCTCCAGGTGAAGAAACTGAGACCCAAGAGAGGTTAGTCACTTAGCCAAGGGACCATAGCAGCAGCTCCAGGACTTACTCACAGGCCTGTTTGTCTTCACCTCTCAAGTCCTCATGCTCTTTGCTACTTCTCGGTGCTGTGTCCCTACGTCCTGGAATGGAAACAAGATAATGACAGATGACTCGTACTAGTGTTAGTGATGATGGTGACACTTTGGCTCTCACAGGTCCCATTTTGCCTCCGTGAAGCATTTCTTCACCTCTCCTCTCCTCTCACCTGGGTATTCACATGCGGTCGTCCTTCCCTGTCTGTTGACAGAGACAATGAGGCACAAAGACTAGTTGACAGGCCTGCTCCACAGCCGAGGGACTATTCCCCAGACGGAGCGACTTCCTGCGTAGCCTTCTTCCACTGGGCCCGGGCTCTGTGGTTCCCTGACTATTGGGATGACAGGCCAAGAACATTTCAAATTCAAATGCACGGGTCCCAGTGTGGCCAACTTTCAAATCTGCCAAATATGGACATTAAAAAAATAACAGCAAAACTGTACCATTCTCTATTACCATCATAACACCAAAAGGCAAGACAAATATGCTTTCAGAATTAAGGGCAGCTGTTTAAATAGCATAAATTCAGCTTTATGAAACATTCCCACATTGTCCTTAATGTGTCCCCAGCTAAGTGGAAGCTCTGTTGTAAACTGTCATTGGTCCACCAGGAACCACCTCGCACCACCCTATCATCACGCCCTGAAACTTGTCCTTCGGAGCGTAGCTGCCCTTTTCCCCATTTACAGCAGAACAGGATAATAATAATAATAATTACTCATGCCCTGTATTTATCATGCTTCTTTCTAAAGAAAAGTTCAAAGCTCTTTTCTGGACTTTGCCCTATTAATGCTCTCGGCATAGCTGTGATGGGAGGTGAGGAGTAGGTGTTAGGATCTGGCCCTCACAATGGGAAAACGAGGCCGAGCAAGGAGGAAACATGCCTGTGGCTTGAGACCAGTGCAGAGAATAGCAGAGATGTTGCCCGCCTTGGAGGAACCGTGGGCTGCATGCCCCTGGGGGTGTGTAATGTATGGCCCTGGCCCAGGGAGGGGGTGGCCTACTGGGGAGACCAGCAAATGCCCTTGAAAAATTCAGCCTTTGATAGTTAATCAGTAGTCAGCAGGTCAGGCTTGCAGGAGCTGACTGGGCCCATTTGGTAGAGGCATTGTAGGAATTCAGCAGGAGGGAGCTCCCTGGTAGTCAGGGAGGCTTCCAGGAGGAGGTGGGCCTGAGCAAGACCCCAAAGGATGGAGGAGGAGCTGGATAGCTTGGGGGAAGGGGAGACTATTCCAGATAGGGAGCCTGTGTGAGCAAAGGCAAAGGTAGAATGTGTATTTACAAAAACCAGAAAGACCATGAGGAAGGGGAATTTGGTTGTGCCATGCTCCATTCTCTTAGTTGGCTTCGGAGAGGGCAGTAGATGGTGCGGAGTGGTGGAAGCTTCCCTTGCGGTCTGTCACTGTGCCCCCGAGTCTGTCACTGTGCCCCAGAGTCTGTCACTGTGCCCCCGAGTCTGTCACTGTGCCCCCGAGTCTGTCACTGTCCCCTAGAGTCTGTCACTGTGCCCCAGAGTCTGTCACTGTACCCCAGAGTCTGTCACTGTGCCCCCGAGTCTGTCACTGTGCCCCAGAGTCTGTCACTGTGCCCCCGAGTCTGTCACTGTGCCCCCGAGTCTGTCACTGTCCCCCAGAGTCTGTCACTGTGCCCCAGAGTCTGTCACTGTACCCCAGAGTCTGTCACTGTGCCCCCGAGTCTGTCACTGTGCCCCAGAGTCTGTCACCTTGCCCTAGAGTCTGTCACTGTGCCCCAGAGTCTGTCACTGTGCCCTAGAGTCTGTCACTGTGCCCCCGAGTCTGTCACTGTACCCCAGAGTCTGTCTCTGTGCCCCAGAGTCTGATCTGATCGCCCCGCAGGGAGTCAGGGGCAGCTCCTTCCTGCGGAGACAGGCTGGGTTGGGAACCAGCGCAACTTCTCCAGGGAGCTCTGTGGACAGAATGGATGCTGCCTGGTGGGACAGTGCCTGCAGCCTGGCCAAAGGGGTGGTGGGCCTGCTGAGCATAGAAATGAAGACAGCAGACTAGAGTAGGGAGCCCCAAAGGTGGGAGATCCTGAAGCCAGGCCGGCCCACATCAAAGGCCATAATTCTGGGGCCGGGCCAACCAGACCTCCTCGAGGCCTGAGAGTCCTTGTATGGGACACAGACTTGGGCATAAGCAGCACTTGGAAAAGTAAGGCAGAGAGAATGGGTGTGAATTCAGGCACTTGACTGGGCACTTTTATTACCTGTTTCTGATAAGATGGGACGGTGGCCCATCAGGCCTTCACTCTCCTCCTCCCTTCTGTCCCACACTGCTGATGTCGCCCCTCTCCCCGCAGAGGTCCTGCTGTGGTGCGGGGGCTTCAGCTTGAGGCCTGTCACCTGCATGGTTCTCTCCAAGGCCTTCCACCTAATTGTATATTTGTGTATATTTACGCACCCCCACCCCAAATTATATGAGGCCCCACAAAACGGGGCTGGGTCCCTGGCATTGAGAACAAGTGTCTGAACTCCCGAGTGCCAGCCTTTGCTGCAGCCTCTGGGGGCTGCAGGAGAGAGAAGGCAGCCCAGTCTGCAGGCTGCCTGCAGTGGAGCAGGGTGCATACAACACACACGTGAAACAGTTAGGGGCTCCTAAGAGGATTTCAATACCAATGTCAAGAATTTCAATAAGTAGGCCATGGACTGCAGGTGTGGAGAGAAGGGCCCTGGGCATGCGCTCGAAGGTCAGGGAAGGCTTCCTGCAGGAGGCTTCTGAGCAGGGTCTTAGGCAGATCGTCATGGCTCCAGCGAGAGGGTGCTCATCCTACCTGTTGGGGTGGGTGAGGCAGGGACTTTGGGCCAGGAGCCTGCTAATGCGGTCCTTGTCCTTTCAGTCAAGGTACATGTGTGAGGCCATGCTGATCCTGGGCAAGCTGCATTACGTGGAGGGCTCCTACCGGGATGCCATCAGCATGTATGCGAAGGCTGGGATCGATGACATGTCCATGGAGAACAAGCCCCTGTATCAGATGCGGCTGCTGGCAGAGGCCTTTGTCATCAAAGGTAGGTGTGGGCACCGCTGGGGCTCCCCACCCGTGCCCTGCTCGGTACACTCAGGTTCCCTTGTGCCAGGAGCAGGTGGTAGCTGTAGGGCAGCAGATGCTGGGTTGAGGGTGAGCCTGCTGGGCCAATGTCCAAGATACATCACCTCTGGGTAGTGCCCAGGACCTGACCAGCTAGGTGGACACCAGTAGTAACTGGGCATGCTGGCTGACGGCAGGCACCAAGCTGGATGTCAGAAGACTCAGCTTCTCACCCAGGCTCTGTCGACAGCTAGCTGCCCACTGTGTGCCCTTGCGCAAATCACCTCATCACCTTTCTTGGCCGCAGCTGACTGATTTGTAAGACAGGGCGGTAATACCTGCCCTCACAGGGTTACCATGACCAAGAGGAATTAGTTGTGTAACCAGGTTGAGAAAGGCTTAGGCTGGTGCCGGTGGCTGACAATGACTACAAATCGGGTGCTTGATGGTACAGAGCAGTCTGTTAACTGCTCAGATATTTGTTGGGCACCTGGCGTGAGTGCCCCGGGGAGGGGAGGTGGTGGCAGGGCCCAGTGACGGGCAGGTCCGAACCAGTTCCTAGGGTGAGGGGTGCTCTGGTGGAGGCCCCGGCACACGGGGTCAGTGATGTAGGAATTTTACGATATAGGGGGTTGTGAATGGCCCACCTGGGGTAATAGTGCCACTGAACTGGACTCCGAAAGTGTTTCATGTTAGTAGAAGCCCCCCCAAACTTTGTGCTTCAGGCTCCTTCCCAGGATCTAGAAGCGCTGGGATCACAGAGCCTGATGCATGGCCCTCTGCCCAGGAATCTTGAATGTTTGGTCATCTCCCTATTTCAGCACAAACCAATCCCCAGAGAAAAGTCTAGAAACGTGTGTGGCCCTGTGGGGATTTGGTGTCTGGCATTGGCAGACTATATGTTACCCTCTTTCCAACATAGAGAGGGACGTTCTCTCCATCTTACATATGGGGAAACTGAGGCCCAGAGAAGCTCTGTGCCTTGTACAAAGTTACCCAGAGATTTGAGGTGGAGCCAGGACAGGAACCTCCACTCTCTGATGTCGGCCTTGGAATATGAGTCCCCACCCCCATTCCTCTGTCTCCCTAGGATCCTGGGGAATTGGCTGTGATGTCTGTGCAGGGCATAGCCTCCTGGTCCCTGGCTGATGGGGCTTCCTAATGGCTGTTGTCCACTGCTGGGGCCCGGACCCCTTTCCCCATTGAGAGACTCTTCACGCCATCCCAGGAAATCTGCCAAGAATGTCACCCTGGACAGACCCAGCACCAGCCTGTGGAGGGCAGGTGCCCCTCTGGGGTGGTCCAGTCTGTGGGCTCTTCTCCCTTTGCTCTCTCGTTCCCTTCTCTGGGCCCCTGGCACAGGCCAGTCTTGGGGGGCGATCTTCATTTGGCATTTGGGTCCTTTGGGCCTCTTGGAAACCACTTCTGCCACAGACTTCCCGAACCTAACACCTTTCCTTGGGGGTCCTTTCCAGCACTTTTTTTCCTGTAGAACTGGCTCGGTGCCTACTGCTCCCTGTCTCCTGCTCTCTACTCTTTCCAGCACGCCTCCAGCTTCTTGGTGGTCAGAGGTCCTGCAGGGGAGGTAAGGAACCAGGCACCAAGGCGTGGGCTGCTCGGTTGTGGGCTGTGCCAGCTCCCCGCCCCTCACTCACTGCACGTGGCCTCCCACTTGCCTGCCTCCTCTCTGCCTGTCCTCCCTGTCCTGTGGCAGTGACTGCCTGCTGCTTGGCATGCGAGGCTCACCCGGCCCTGCGTGTGCTTGACGGAGACCGTGCACGTGGCCTCCAGAGTGTGCATGATGTTGATTTTCCTAGGTTTGGGGGGCACCCAGTGGGTTTCCCCATCACAGAGCAGGGGATGGGGATGGCTGGTCATTGGTCCTGACTCCATTTATGAGCAAGAGGGTGTGTTATTCAGTCCGGGCTGCCAAAGCAAAATACTATAGACTGGGTGGCTTAAACAACAGTAATTTATTTCTCTCAGTTCTGGAGGCTGGGAAGTTCAAGATCAAGGTACCAGCAGGGTTGGTATCTGTCTCCTTGGGTTGCAGGTGGCCACCTACTCACTGTGTCCTCACAAGACATGGCCTCTCCACCATGTGTGCACCTAGAGCGATCCCTCTCTCTTCCTCTTCTTGTAAAGCCACTAATCCCATCATTAGGCCCTCACCCTCAGGACCTCACCTAACCCTAATCACCTCCCAAAGGTACCATCACCTGCAGCTCATCTCTAAGGTGGGAGGTCATTGTTGTGCCCACTCCATGGATGAAAAAACTGAAGCATGCCCGGTCACATGGCCGGTAGGCAGCAGAGCTCGGATTGGGCCAGGTGGTTGTCTCCCCAGCTTGTGTTCTGCCTGTGAGAGAGGAGCCTACCAGAGGGTGATGGGGAGCAGTTAGAGTTATTTCCAAGATGGGTTCGAGCAGATGAGGGTGCAGGTGCAGGAGCCCAGAGAAGGAGGTTCCTGGCGCTGACTGCAAAGCTGCAGGGGGAGGGGGGAGCCAGCCAGGAGGGACGATGCCTTTGGGTACCATCATTCTGTCCCTGAGGGGAGCCCTAACTGGACCTTGTGGAAATAGGGACTTGAGCCTCTCCTGGCCTCCTTCAGCCCTGGGTAGAGCCCTGCACCCCTGTCCCAGGGTCTGCTTAGTACAGAAGCAGCCCAAGGCCATGGTGTCAGTGGATGAGTTGCCCAGAAAATTTGCTTTTATATGTCAGCATCAGTCACTTTGGCTCAGAATGGGGAGCCTGCCCCACTCCTAGCCTATTCCCCCAACCCTGCAATGGCCCCATTGTGACTTCTTCCAAACCCTTGCCCTCTTCCCAAGCATGTCAGACCAGGGGACGGACCTGGGAAAGGAAATGTTCCCAGTCCATTCCAGGTTCAGATGGTAGGTGCTGTAGTCCACCACCACTTTGGTTTGTGTATGTGTGTGGGGGGCTGGGGGGAGGTGGGGGAGAAGCTTCCATTTACTTTGTATTTAAAAACAATCCTATATAATAAAACCCTAATATGCAAATCGAGCAAACGGCAGAATGACCGGTCACTATGACCCACACTGACCACCAGGTGGCAGATGCTCAATGCAGGAGCTGCCCCCTGTTGGTCAGTGCGCTATCACAGGGGGAGCGCCACTCAGCCAGAAGCTGGGCTCACGGCTGGCGAGCCCATCGGTGGTGGCGGGAGCCTCTCCTGCCTCCACAGCAGTGCTAAAGACCCCTGGGAGTGGGGGGTGTCCACCTGCTGGCTTAGGCCTGCTTCCCGCAGACATCCCCCAAGGGGTCCCGGACGGCGAGAGGGCGCAGGCTGGGCTGAGGGAATGTTGTGCACCGGGCCTCTAGTCTAGAATAATTTGGTTTTGAGGCTCTTCTCTGAAGGTCGCCCACTCTCATAAAGCCCTTGGCAGGTCCCTGCTCCTTTGACTGTGCGCTCTGGGCTGTCAGCCCTGCCTCTCCACTGAACTTAGAGCCCCTCGAGGACAGGTGGTGGCACCCCCAGTGTCCTCTCCCTCTTCTCCCTTCCCGAAGCCCCACACTCCAGCCAAATGAGGTCTGCTCCCAGTGTACAACATGCTAGACAGAGCCTCTTCCTTCACCTTTTCTTGGGCCACTGTCCTCGCACATGGATAGCCCTCCACATTCCCTCAGACACCGCTCAGGTGCCTCCTCCACCAGGAGGCTCCCCTTGGTTGCTGAGCTACAGCATTCTCTCCCTCTTTCAACCTCCCCAGTTACAGGGCAGTCAGTATGTTCCTCCTGCCAGGGGCCTGGCCTCTTATAGTTGTACCCCTCAAGGCCTCCAGCCCAGCTCTCGCAGGGGAAAGTACAATTGGCAAGAAGTTGGTTGAGCAAGTGCCTACCAGGGGTACCGAGAAGAACAGTTAAGGTCCCTTCCCTTGCGGGAGGCAGGCAGGTAGGTGAGCAAAGCCTGCAGCTGGTGGGCCCCGGCTCTAGGAAACAGCTGCTCGGGGGAAGGAGCTAAGCCTGCAGAGGCAGAACTGGTGAGTCGCGAGCTACCTGGTGCCGCTCTTTCCTGCCCGGTCTCTGCACCACAGGCCATAGTGTCGTGGAGTCTGCTGTTGGAAACACCAGGACATGCAAACACCCCCGAGGTGACCGGTCTATAGCTTATTGCCAGGGCCTGCTAGGGCGGGACAGTGGGCCTGCTGCCTCGCTGTGGTGCCTTGGCCATGTGGCTGCCCCCAGTTCCATTCAGTGGGGACCTCTCGGGCCTTGACACCCAAGAGGGGCATTTGTGAATCCCCCTGGGGCTGCAGCTCCTCAGCAGCCCACTTCCAAACGGGCTGCCACACCTGGGACAGCCTTTTGAGTTGAGTGGTCTGAGGCCTCATTCGCCAGGTTTGGGGTCTGCCTGCCTCTGCCTCCCTAGAACTCCCTAGTAAGAAGCCTTTGGGCATTTGGCATTAGATCATCTTCATGGATGAGACACTAGAGGCAAAGACTGTGTTGACCCAGGGTCCTTGGATCTAGATCCAGGCCTAGAAGTATGTCTCTTAGCAGCAGACCCCTGGCTCCTCTCAGCAACCCCAACCCTCAGTTTAATGGGTAAGCCATGGGCTAGGCTGGGGTACACACGCCCTTTGCCCCCAAGCGGCATCTGGTTGTCTTAGCAGCATGTGAGAGCCACAGCAGGGGAGCCTGGTGACGTCCTGGGGTGTCGGGCCTTTCCCAGGCCCAGCCCCAGCTCCTCAGAGGGGCTGGTCTTCCTGCCTCCTCTGCGCTACCTTTAGCAGGAGCAGAGAATGTCCAGCCCTGATTATCTGACTTGACCCTCGGCCACCTTGAATCGTTGTCCACAGGAAGAGGGATCCTTAGCAAAGCTGTGTCATTCAGAGGGCTACCAGAAGTGAAGCTTGCCCCCTCTTGTGGGCCCTACTCTGAGCCCAAAAAGTATCCACCATAGGCTTATATTCTGGAATGTTTCACCAGCTGCCCCCTAAAGTTCCAGCCTCCAGA